TATCCCACACACATAAACAAGTGAATATGGAGACAACTAATGAATTGGTAGCCTTGGTATCAGTAGACCTCAATAAAACATAACGGAAAAAGAAAGATTCTCAAATATAACAAAGTGAGCATCAAATAAATTATATTTGATGGAAAAACTCTGGAAGAGGTTGAATCTTTCACATACCTGACTGATTAGTATCATCGATGAATGTGGAGAATTTGATGAAGGTGTAAAGAAAAGGATTGGTAAAACATGAGCAACATTCATAAGGTTGAAGAATACATGGAACTTAAAACAACTGTTTGTCAACTAACATCAAAGTCAGAACCCTCAAAATGGACGTCAACACAGTTGGTTCTACTGTACGGAAGTGAAACTTGGAGAAGTATTGAAACTACTATCAAGAGAATACAAATATTTAAAAACAATTATCTACACAAGATAGTGAATGACCGTTGATCGGACACAATCGGTAACAACCTACTATGGGTAAGAACAAACCAACTTCCATCTGAGGCGGAAATTAGGAAAAGACGATGGAAGTTCAAAGGACATACATCGTAAAAATCATTAAACTGCATCATGAGAGAAGCACTAACTTAAACTCGTGAAATAAAGAATAAAAGAGGAAGGTCAAACAACACACTGTACCGAGAATTGAAATCAGACATGAAAACGATGAATAACAACTGGAAAGAACTGTAAAAGGTTGCCCAAGACAAAGTTGGTTGGAAAAATGTTGTGGGCGGTCTATGCTCTTCCATGAGGGGTAACAAACATAAGTAATTCTCTTCAATGATTCTATTATTTTTTATTTATTAGTTACAAAAGGAGTTGTGAAATAGATAAAATTGATTGTTCATCAACGGGAAAAAAGGGAAAATAATGATTCATTCAATCACTTAATTATTGCGTAATCTAATCAGTAAACAAGTTACTTATCAAAATCATTCAAAAGTAATTGATAAAGAAAGAAAGAAAGAAAAGAGAAGAAAAGTAAACACATCTGATTAAATCAACTAAAATAGATTTCACATTGTATGGCTGTTTCGTCCTAATATGAAACTCCTCAGCAGTGCGCATCCCCAATCATGCATGCGAGACTGTAGCGCGAACGCTTAACCTCTAGATCATGACTCAAAAATAGATGGAGAATAAGTTTTCATACATGTAAAACGTAAATGATCTCAAATGGAAAATGATTGAAAATCATTATAACATTACTTTTACACCAGTACTGGGATACCTGTCCTTGTCATCTATATATTTCAATAGTCATCTGTTTTTGTGTTTGCTTGTTTGTTGTTGACACATCTTTATGTTTATTAATTGATCACATAACCTATTTAGGTGCATTTATGAAAAATCTACGACCTTTCTCTATACAAGTTACAAAACAGTACAATTAGAGACGTTGTTGTGGCTGGGCACAATATACATTGAAAAGAATGTACATTATTCAGATGTGAATTGATGAACTGGTATCATCATAATGACGATCAATCGATATTTATCAACATGCTCAATCAAGAAATAAGAAAAAAGAAGCTTGTTGAAGTACTTTGTGTTGAGAATTCTGTATTGTACCAAAAAGACAATATTGAATAAAACCAGCAATAAGAAAGAAGTACGCTAAAAATCGAATCAGAATTGATGATTTTTAACTAAAAAGCAACTTAACTTCAGTAGAAATACAATATACACAATAAATAATAAAAATAATTTACATACCTAATACTAAACACGTTAATTTCAAATCTTCTCCAGGTATTCCAGCTGCATTGCCATTATCATCAAGCCCATCAATTTGTACCTTGATTGATCTACCACTTACTGAAATTGTAATTAAGTAGATAAAAAATATATACTAAAAAAACGTGAATGGTAATAATGAATAATGAATGTTCCTTCTCATTACATATTCAGTTGATAAGTGTATTGTTACAACAATAAACTTGAATGATCTGAATTCACTATTGACTGATGTTTAGATTATCATCTTTCAATTTGTTAGAACTATACCCATTTACTTCAGTGATCTTCTTTGTATTAAAATGTTGATCACTTATTGACATAGTAAAATGTCGATGATTTCACTGTATAAAATTATCTTCAATGTTGTATTTTAGATGGTAGTTGGAGGTAGTCTACCTCCAACTACCATCTAAAATCTCAATACATAGTGCCCGCAGTGTCGAGTCACCTAGACTGTTGACCACATTGCAACATGATCGATAGCATTCGATCTGCACTAATAAGGACTAGACAAGCATGACATTGATCACCACCGAGTGATCAATCAATTGTGATCAATGTTGTATACTAGTTTGTGTAGATTAAAAATTAAAGACTACAGTCATAATTGGATGATTGACAACTGATCTACATTGAATCGTTCAAAGTAATACTTTAATAGTTAAAGTCTTTAGTTTTCAAACATTTAACACATTTGAACACATCAATATTGGTACAGAATACATATGCACACACACACCACACAAGTCATTTGATTTGTGCGTGGATTATGAAACTACCCAAGTGCCCAGATTAAAACGGATGATTTTCTTGGGAGGCCACATCCGGAATCTTCAACCTATAGGTCTGATCTACAAGGCAGTAGAGCGACGTAAGGAGATGCAGTCTCATAGTAGCCGGTGACCAACAATAAGTTCATACACCAATTGTTCCTTCAGGATACTGGTCTATTTTCATCATTGGTTTTGAATCAGGATTCTCCAGCTTGCCTACATGGACCCTACATATCCATCAACCAGGTTAAAGCGCCGGATATTTGTTTTTTAGTAGTGTCGCGAGAAGGCAGTGAGTAGGACTTCCCTGACTTTGTCAGTATACGCCATGTAACGGCATTTCGAGGTATAGAACGAACACTGTCCATTCTTGGTCGTATCAGGGAATTTGAGGGCTTTTAAACATTGGATCACAGATTTGTACTTCATTCTATCCATTTAAATTATGAAAAACCAATAGTATAACTCACTTTTCCCCCCCTTTCCCTCTCTCTCTCTCGCACACACCCACATTTATAAGAAGCGTAACTCAAGACTTAGTAACATAATCAATATTTGATTAGTTGTCTATCTATCTGTTGTTTGTTAAAAAGGATATGATAATTAAACTATTACTGTTCAATCTCTATTTAAAGCATAAATTACTTTAAGTCATCTGTATTTTAGTTAAACAGAAAAAAGATCCGACCAAATAAGCGTTCGTGCGCAAGACTGAAGGCCCTGGGTCCGAATCCCTTTTGTGAGAGATCGTGCATGCGCACAGCTGAGGAGTCACACAATAGGACGTAACGACCGTCCAATGCTTTCAGGTTTTCAATAGTGATCTAATATCAATCGAATCATGATCTCAATCAATAACTCAATAAACTTGTCTATATAATTAACTTACTATCATAAACAGGTACAGGATGTTTTGACCAAATTGGTATTTCACTTTCATTAGCTGATATAATAACAATAGGATAATAATCTGTTCGATATCTTTTCAATGGATAATTAGATTCCTTTTGTTGATTATCTAATTCATTTAGTTCTTGTTCATTTGCATTATTATTCAATTCATCAATAGATTTCACAATAACATTAAATCGTATTTTCAATGGTTTCGTTGTATAATGTGGATTCATTATGATTAAACTACCATTTTTACTATTGAATAATATTGATTCACCTAATTCACCAGTATGAGCTGGTAAACCACTAATATATGCTAAATCATATGAATAACGAATGAATTGTGGATTCGTTGTATCATCTAATGGGGTATCAGTTGTAGCTACTAGAAAATACAAAAAGAAGAAACAAAACAAAACAATACAGTTATGAATATCAATCAATCATGAATGAAAGTTATCACTGCTACAATACACTTGGAATCCTGAAGGGAAACAGAAAAGAGGAAGGCTACGTTGAGGAATAGAAGCAAATAACAACTAGAAAGAGCTGGAAAGGATAGCTTGGGACAAGGTTGGGTGGAGAATGCTGTTGGGCGGCTTATGTTCCTTTACGAGGAGTAACAGGCGTAAGTAAGTAAATAAGTAAGCTGATTTACCATTCACAGTTATTGATAAAACATCCTATGAGTTAGTTGACGCATGGAATGCAAAGGACAAGAATTGCTGACTGCTTTGGTATACCACAGTCCAAACTGCTAGGTGAGTGAAGTCTTGCTAGATGGTTTCAACACTTGGTGACCAAGTGGTCGATATTTAACCTTAAAAGACTTTGATGCATCTACGGTAAACTAGAAAAATCTGAGAACTGGATTGTTAGAAAATTTCTTGGAAAATAAATTAGTTAATGTTGTTGTTACATGTGACCAAGTGCAACATTTGGAAGAAGTGACTTGGACTCCGAATCATTCCTACTAGATCTCATTTTGACCAGTTAAGAGGATTACGTCACAAACCACCAATATATCCTACCCTTAGGTAAAAGCGACCATCCGGTTTTAATCTTTCACATCTATTTAGTTGTCAATAACGAGCATGTGTCAGCCCAAGATAGACCACACGTCTGAAAAGAAAATATACAAGAAATAAAACACTCAGCATCCTTGGTAGATTTGAAAATAGAACCAGAACTTCCCATTGAAACAGCTTGAGAGTTATTCACACGTTTTATATAAGAGTCATCACACTGCACATCTTATGCACTACACCAAGGGGTTTGTGAAACTCTCCACCGTGGTTCAGTAAAGAGGTTCGCACCTTTCTCCGTCACAATAAAACAATGTGGAAAAGATTTAGGTTACTGGATAATAACGAGACAAAATTTAAATATAGAGAAGCCCGAAACATTTGTCTCCACACTCCACAAATCCAGAAGGTTATGCAAAGAAAAACCTGCTAAGGAGTCTATAGAAAATCCTAAACGATTTTGCCCATACACAAAGCAAAAGACTAAGAGAAGAGGAAATATTCGAGTATCATGGTGAGACAGTAGTACTTCATCACTAGTGAAGTACGATTATGATAAACCTCAGGTATTCTCAAACTATGTATGTATAATAGAGATACCCTCAAATTCAGTTCATATAAAACCCTCCTCCTCCCCAAACACACATATGCTGAAAACTGTGACCATTACTTATTTACTTACTTACGCCTGTTACCCCTAATGCAAGAACATAAGCCACCCAACGCGATTATTCATGCAACTCTGTTCTGCACAATCCTTCCCACTTCTTTCCACTTCCTATTCATCCTTCTCATATCTGCTTCCAATTGAAAAACGCAGTGTGTTATTTGACCTTCCACTTTTCCGTTCCCCTTCACGATTCCAATTTACCATTTGGCTCGTGATGCAATCTGATGATTTCCACAATTTGTGGACTATCAACTTCTATCGACTTTTGCTCATTTCCTCTTCTTACTTGGATGTTGACTGACATACAGTTATTTTGAGTTTCATATGTTCTTCAACTGTATGAATGTTACCCTTATTTAGACAATCCTTGTCTTTACACCTTCATCAAATCCTTCACGTTCATCAACGATGCTGTCCAGTCAGGTATGAGGAAGCTCAACCAGCCAATTTAAATCTATTTCTATTGTTATATACAAGAACAAGAGGCGATATAATCTCAGTTTTTAAATTACTTAGTGATAAATTTGCATCTGATATGCCCTCATATTTATTATCTTCCAAAACAGAGAGAATTTATAACGATACTCTAAAAACAATTCACAAGCCCAGAGCAAATTACTTCTAAGTTAACTATCGATTTTCCTATCGAATCTTCAATGAATGGAATTCAGAATGGGTTTTGTGGAGAGTTTTAGAAATTTCACAGATTGAAATCATGAGTCAGTTGAAGCTAAACCACCATTGAAAACCTGGAAGCACTGGACGGCCGTTTCGTCCTAGTATGGGACTCCTCAGCAGTGCGCGTCTACGATCCCGCACCACACGGGGCTCGAACCCAGGAACTACTGGCTTCGCGTGCGAGCACTTAACCACTAGACCACTGAGCCGGCTGGCATCCAACGGTGTTCATGTCTAACTTTCAACCTGTGAAATTTCTAAAACTCTCCACAAAACCCATTCTGATAATAATCAACTGCTCACTAGTGACTGACTTCAGGAAAAACTCCTGGAGTTCTAGTGAGAAGCCGTTACCAGTGGAGTTCAACCGGCCTGTTGTGAGATAACAACTCACTGAAGACAATGGTGTACGGTGGCGCAACTTCGTGGATTGGTTGAAGTTAGACATTAACACTGTTGGATGCCGGCTCAGTGGTCTAATGGTTAAGTGCTCGCGCGCGAAGCCAGTAGGTCCTGGGTTCGAATCTCGCGGGAGGCGAGGTCGTGGATGAGCACTGCCGAGGAGTCCCACAATGGGACGAAACGACCGTCTAGTGCTTCCAGGTTTTCAATGGTGGTCTAGCTTCAACTGACTCATGATTTCAACCTGTAAAATGGAATTCATTTCCTCAATATATGATTGAAGCTTCATCTGTCAACACTTTCAAAACAATGTTGGATCAATAGAAAGGACTAATACAAGCCACTTAACCTTCTGTCCGTTACAATGTGAGAATGAAACTGAATAGTCTCCATGGTAAATTTGGATAGGGTAATAAGAAGATAAAGATTATCAGAATTATGTGACAAATAGTTGCACAATACATTACATATAATGTGATCATACATATGCCTGTTAAGAACATTTATATATGAAAAAAAATAAACGGTTAATGAAACAAATGGAAGGATAGGAGAAAACAAAGATAAGAAAAACGATATGTGAAACTCACCACACCGGATAATATAAACTAATATTATCGGAATAGGTAATGATAAACTATTTATAAATATAGTAGTTTAATTCATTAGCCAATTAAAGCTAGATCATCATGGAAGCACTAGATGGCCGTTTCGTTCCATTATGGGACTCATCAGCAGTACACATCTACGACCTCGACTTCGCAAGATTCCAACCCGGAACTTATCGGTTTCACGCGCAAACGCTTAATCACTAGACCACTAAACTGACCGGTATCCAACACAGTTAATGTCTATTTTCAACCATAAAAGTGGTTTTGAATTTTCTCATAACCAAGGTTTTAATAAACTTCAGTATATAGATTATTGAACAATTTTGTAGATCATAAAAAAGTTGATTAAAATCAATCTTCTGATCTGTTTCAATTCTATTTATTTGTTTAAACACATAGATATTGGTACAAAGAGGCACCAAATAGATATGCGCCACATAAATCATTACGTTTGTCTGAGGGTTAAGACACTAGCCGGCTGCTCAAACCGAAGCAGATAGTTTTCTTAAGGGGCCACATCCAGAACCTTCAACCTAAAGGTCTGATCTACAAGGCAATGGTGCAACGTCAGGGGATACAGTCCTATGGTAGCCTGTGACTAACAGTAGGTTCATACACCATTTGTTCCTTCAAGATACTGGAGTCCATGTGCATCATTGATTTGAAAATCAAGGTTTCCAAGCTTCCCTAGATACATTCTCCATGTTTACCAAACTATATAGATATGTTTAATAAACAACTATTAACTAACTGTCATGATAACGTATTATAGATATAGGACAATAAAAGAAAGAAAGAAAGAAAGAAAGAAATTTAAACATAATCATAAACTTACATTTTGCAATAGCACGAATCTCATCAGTTTTATCATCATTTATAGTTAAACTAATTTGTTGTTTATCATTATCCATAGGTATAATGTCAATTATCACTTTATCATCTGATACTACAAATAATAAGGAAAAACAACTTGGATTAGGAATGAAGAAGAAATCTGTGGACTTGTTTATATTTATAAAAGATGAGAATGATTAGATGGAGGGTACATGCGAAACCATGTGAACAATCATTTCCATAAAAGGATCTCTTTCCTACAACCCCACATCACCCGACCCCCCCCCTTCTCCGAAAATGGAAATGCATGTTTAATAAAATAAACAGTGATAATGACTATCCTGTCATTCAAACAACATTTTCTTTATCCATTGAATTCAATGGAAAGTGTGTATATGTATGTGTGTGTGTGTGTGTGCGAGGTGTGTGTGTGTGCAGGGGGGGTAATTATTTACTTCATTTAAAACTGTTACTAATTCATTATTGTATTATTGAAATCAATTCCATGATTAGTTTTTGTTGTCAATCAATTATCTTGAAAAGATAATAATGATGTTTATTTTCAATTTCATTCATAGAGAATCTTTATAAATGAAGTCAAGACCAAAGATCCTGGATAGAATCCGTCAGAGAGTATCAGTTCCTTCAGAATTATAAGCACATCTTACTGATAAGTGTCAAGTAACATGAAACCTAAGTTCAAGATTTCCTGTTGACTAGATCTAACTATTCAATTCTAGTTGGTAGATCTATTTGATTTCAACATCAGTATAAAACATGTAAGCTATGTATTGAAATCAAACAATAAGTTATGTAATCATAAACAATCTATCTTAGAAATATTTTTGTTCAAAGTTATAAATAATCTTGTCTAATTCCATACAAGATTCCACGCTTCTATGGTTGAGATCATGATTCAAGTGAACCTAGATCACCATGGAAAACCTGTAAATAATAGATGGTTGATTCATCCTATTGTGGGACTCCTCAACAGTATTCAACAGTGCAAGATTCGTACATACGACCTATGAGTCTCGCTTAACCTCTAGACCACATTCAATCAGTCAATAACAACGTAGAACTTCGTACGTACGTACATCAGTTCGAGTTGCCACACCACATTAGCACAGAGATGCAGTTGTCGATTCAAATCCCGTAGTGGTAGAGGTAATAAGAGTATAAGCAGTAATCGGGAAGATTAGGGTTTGGAGATGTTATTCAAAGAGTACAATCCAGTGAAATAAATTTGGAAAGAGAAAAAGAAAAGGTACATGAAGAATTCAGAAGATTAGAATTTAGGAGAACACAAAGAGTGGATGAACCTGCGCCATTGCAAACGATTTTTAGCCATGTCATTCAAGGTCTTTAACCATCAGTTGCGATCATCTCGTGGTTCCCAACCAGGTAGTCTACACCTACCAACATGGCTCAGTCTACTTGTCAGTGACTTCTAGACCACTGGAGCCAGCTATTATCTAATAATGTTAGTGTTTAACTTTTGTTTACAAAATATAATAAAAAAAGTTTACCATCAACTGGAAGTATTTCCTCTGGTTGTAGACTACGAATTGTATTCAATGGTTGTATATTTGTAAAGAATAAATCAGATGAATAGGTCTGTGGTGATTGTTCAGTGAAATTATCTTCTTTAGGCCATATTGTTATAAGGCATCGACCTTTTTTAGGTGTATTATATTTAATATTTATAATCTTCATTTTATTCCCTTCAGTTGTTATTATATCACCAATTTCACTGATATCAGCTAATTCACCATCGATTTGACGCCAATCCCATCCATAAGTCACTTTACTGTTAATATATGGTTGACCAGTATTATGATCTACAAAATAAATTTTCGTTTTAAAATGAAGAACAACGAAGTGATCTGGATTTCTATATAAGAACAAGATGATAACTATTTGAATGTTCATTTGTCTATGTAGTGAACAGGGAAAACAAGAAGCCTTGACAAACTATGGAAGCTATTTTTCGCGGAAGTTATTCCATTTTATTCAAAGCTTGTAAAACACTAACATTTATTTTTGTTTCTTGTCTATTCTACGGAACATAAGCTTTCGTTCGATGTATGATTCATTGCCATAGCCCTTTTCTGTTCCGAAGCTATTGTAATTTAAACATAATATTTTGCACCCCATTTTCTACTCTAATTCCCAGCTTTGGACATAATTGTATTCTTCCTAATTATTGTACGTTGTGGTCAGGTTAGTCACATATTTATTCATGTACCTTTTTACAGTAATCTGAACTGAACTGAACTGAAGTGAAATCAGGATATCGGGAAGAGATCGAGTAGTGTTCCAGTTGTCTTGTCTTCTTTCATTCGCGTGCTTATCAGCCAATCAGGTGATAGAATAGTTTTCTTCTCTCTACCCCACTTCGAACTCACGCGTACTCGCCTCAAGGTTAGGTCGGTGAGCCTATGGCGCCAAGGTCTTAATCTGAATATTAGATAAGTAACCTCAGCACCAAGAGTGGGTAGACAGACCAAACGACATAACAGTCTACCGTACTATTCAAATCTCATTTATGAAATGCAATTGGCATACATAACTAAAAATTTACGCTTTGATCATCTAACTGAAGGAATTGTCTAAAGCTTCATTTAGATCATTGATCGAATTCATTCATATCAATGATCTCTGGACAGCTGTTACATCATATTATAAGGATCCAGTAGTATATGCTTGTACAATCCTTTCCAAGTATAATGGAAACCGTATACAAACTCTGACTTTGCCAGGACTCAGATAACTAGGACGATATCAATCAAATATTATGATTGAATTTACTTTGACTTAAATATTTTCTAAGGAGATTAGAATAATTTGAATTCTAAAGCGGATTGTCATTTTCTATCGTAGTTTAAAACATTTCATTAAAGTAAATTCATACTCCGGCACATAGATCAGCAGTTGAGATCATGAGTCAGCTGAAGCTAGACCACCATGGAAAACCTAGAAGCACTGGGCGGCCGTTTCGTCCTATTGTGGGATTCCTCAGCAGTGCGCATCCACGACTCCGTCTCGCGGGGTCTGTTGAAATTACTACAATCTCCACAAAACCCCTTCTGATATATAGATCAGCCTTGAAATCTTAAAATCGACCCATATAAAGAATCCTTTTAACTAATGAACCAGAACCAGACTCCAATAGAATGAAACTTGAGTACTGCATACAAGCGGCTAGCCCCTGCTTTAAAAAAGACTGTGATCTTCTGGAAAAGGTTCACAGAACAGCAACTAAGCTGATTCCCGGAATTGCGAAGCTTCCGTATGAAGCTCGACTGGCCAAGCTAAACCTTTTCCCGTTGTCATATCATGGAACTAGAGGCGACTTCATTACAGTTGCTTAGTGATAAATTTACATCTGATATGCCCTCACTTTTCTTGACTCCCAAAACAGAGAATTTACGAGGATACTCCAAAAAAGTTCTCAAGCCCAGAACAAATTACTTGTCAGCTGACTATAGACTTTCCCATCGAATCATTAACGAGTGGAATTCATTACCTCAGCACGTGGTTGAGGCTCCATCCGTCGACTCTTTCAAAAGAAAGTTGGATCAACTGAGAAACTACCATTGCCAGGACTAACACAGGCCATCAAGCCTCCTGTCCTTTCCAAACTGAAATTGAATGTAGTTTATTTTGAACGGAATGTACAAATGAAATACTTTGATACTAAAAAAGTATCTATACTGGTTCAGTTCAAGTCTAATTCATTTTAAATCCCAATCTCTAGGACAATTTTATTCAAATTGGGCGAATAAGGCATCATTGAGATGTGAATAAACATATATACGAGGTATACTGCTGAAATAAACAAACAAAAAG